TCGCTGGGCCTGAACATCAGCAAGCTCCGCGCCCGCGCCTCGGCCTGGCCGTCGTCGTCGGCGCCTTCGGCGCCCTGTCGCAGCACCTCGGCGACCTGAGGAGCCCAAAAACTTCCTTGTTGCGTCCAAAATGTGGCCTGGGAGCTGCGTTCTGGCAGCGCGAGAACCCAAAATTGACGACAGTTACAGGTTTTGGATGACCCGCTCGGATTACCAACATGATCTGCGGGCCCCATAGGGAAGGGGCTCCCGCCTGAGACTTCCTCGCAGTTCACTCACAGACGAGGCTCCCGCCTGAGACTTCCTCCATTTTCAGGCTTGACGAGCCCAAAATTGACGACAGTTAGAGGATTCCGATGACCCGCTCGGATTGCCATCATGATCTGCGGGCCCCATAGGGAGGGGGCTCCCGCCTGAGACTTCCTCACAATTCACTCAGAGACGAGGCTCCCGCCTGAGACTTCCTCCAAATTCAGGCTTGACGAGCCCAAAAGTGACGACAGTTACAGTTTCCGATGACCCGCTCGGATTACCAACATGATCTGCGGGCCCCATAGGGAGGGGGCTCCCGCCTGAGCCTTCCTCAGAATTCACTCACAGACGAGGCTCCCGCCTGAGACTTCCTCCAAATTCAGGCTTGAGGAGCCCAAAAGTGACGACAGTTACAGGTTCCGATGACCCGCTCGGATTACCAACATGATCTGCGGGCCCCATAGGGAGGGAGCTCCCGCCTGAGACTTCCTCCCGATTCACTCACAGACGAGGCTCCCGCCTGAGACTTCCTCCATTTTCAGGCTTGACGAGCCCAAAAGTGACGACAGTTACAGGGTTCCGATGACCCGCTCGGATTACCAACATGATCTGCGGGCCCCATAGGGAGGGGGCTCCCGCCTGAGCCTTCCTCAAAATTCACTCGCAGACGAGGCTCCCGCCTAAGACTTCCTCCAAATTCAAGCTTGAGGAGCCCAAAAGTGACGACAGTTACAGGTTTCCGATAACCCGCTCGGATTGCCAACATGATCTGCGGGCCCCATAGGGAGGGAGCTCCCGCCTGAGACTTCCTCCCAATTCACTCACAGACGAGGCTCCCGCCTGAGACTTCCTCCATTTTCAGGCTTGACGAGCCCAAAAGTGACGACAGTTACAGGTTTCCGATGACCCGCTCGGATTACCAACATGATCTGCGGGCCCCATAGGGAGGGGGCTCCCGCCTGAGACTTCCTCACAATTTACTCAACGATGATGAGGATGAGGATGATGAGTGGTGGTGAAGATGAGTGGTGAAGAGGATGATGATTGATTGTGAGTGGTGGTGGCGATGATGATGTTTGAATGAGGATGATGCCGATGCCGATGATGATGATGATGATGATGTTCGTGAGCGTGTGAGAGAGTGCAAGTGATGATGATGATGAGTATGTGAGTGACTAAGCATGTGAGAGAGCATCATCGATGATGCTGATGAGGTTGATGATGAGAGAGTGTGAGTGAGTGTGAGTGGGTGTGTGTGTTCCTGTCCTGTTCCTGCGCGGGGTGTCCAGAGAAAACGAGAACCCCACTTTGGATGTGGGAAAAAAACCAGAGGACGGTCACTGCCAGTTCGAACCCCCGACCCCCCTCCAGAAAACCGGAGGGGGGTCGCTATCGGTTCGATTCCCCCCCCCCCACTCTCGAAAATCGGGGGGGGGTCGCTGCCGGTTCGAACCCCCCGCCCCTCCCTCCACTGCAGAACGCTGGTGGGGGTCACTGCTGGTTCGAATCCCCCCTCCTTGTCCCCCTCCTCGAAAACCGGGGGGGGGGGTCGCTGCCGGTTCGAACCCCTCCCACCCCCAGAAAACCAGAGGAAGGTCACTGCCAGCTGGAACCCCCCCACCCCCCTCCAGAAAACCAGGGGGGGTTCACTGCCGTGTCGAACCCCGCGCCACTGTCCCGCTGTCCCCACCGCTGTTCCGCTGTCCCCTCACCGCTGTCCTCGCCGCCACTGTCCCCGCCGCTGTCCGCGCCCCCCCCCCGGTTTTCGAGGAAAGGGGAGTTCGAACTGGTAGTGACCCCCCCCCTGGTTTTCGAGTGTGTGTGTGTGTGTGTGTGTGTGTGTGTTTCGAACCAGCAGTGGCCCCCCCCCCTTATCATGATGGACTGGGGGGGGGGTCGAACCGGTAGTGCCCCCCCTCAATTTTCCGGAGGGGGGGGGCTCGAACCGGTAGTGACCCCCCGCGGTTTTTTCCGCCAGCGGCGGTAGAACGCGGTCTTTCCCTGCTGACGGCACCGGCGTGGCTTCGCCGTCGGACTCGGGGTCAACGATCAAGATATCGCTGGCGCCGTCGTCGTGCTAGGTGCCGCTGTCGGCCATGAGCTGATCCGCACAAGTCGCTCGCCATGCGCCGCGGGGCTGCGGAATGGCCCGCAGCTGGCCAACAATCTGTATATATGTGTACATACATACATACATACATACATACATACATACATACACATACACATACACACGCACACACATATATATATATATACATATATATTTGATATACATATACAAATGTAATATGGGTGTGCGCCTGCGGTCTTTCCTGAAACCAGCATGTCGGGAAGTAAGTTGCAGTCGCTTTCGCTGCTTGCCTGCGTGCTCTTCGTGTACCTCTCGTCCTGCTTCTCCTGCCCTTCGTCTTTCTCGTCCTGCTCTCTCAGCTCTTCTCTTCGTCTCCCTCGTTTCCCCTCCCTCATCGTATTCCTCCTCCGCCTCCTGCGCGCTTGCTCTCCTTCCCCGTTCTCCTCGCCCCCTTCTTCAACCCCTTTTCCCCGAACTCCTCTTCCTCCTGCTCCTCCCCTTCCTCCTCCTGCCCCGTCAACTGCTGGTCCCAAGCGAACCGACCTGAACATGATTGAACGCATCAGGGCCTCCACGGGGATCCTACAACCCCTCCAGGGGCACTTACAACATTATCTATGGCACCTTGACGGGCTCATGTTGGAGGGTTGGAGGGCCCTTTGGAAGCATACTGGGTGCGGAGGAATGTTACGGAGACCCTGGGGCTCTATGGCCCGAGGAATTCCTGGATGGCGCTTCAGGAAACAACAGGACACCTCAGCAGGAATCCGAATACATTTTTCGCTTTCAAAGGAAACCCAATGCTGAATCCGAGATATTCTATGTGAAGGCACCATACGGACGCCGATGGGCTGGTCAAGGAAAGGGATAGCCGATTAACGCAGACGGAAGGCCAAACTAATACGGATGCTCCCGAAACAATTACTGGCGATTGTCATGGACATCGGACGAGGTCCTGGTGATTCCCGAACGACCTGCTTGAGAACCAATGCGATCGCAGTAATCCCAAAGAGTCTTGGGAAACCCTTCGGGGAAACCAAGGGTCCCAAACCATGCTTAAAGCCAAAGCATGCTGTGAAATCGCGAGACGTAATTTAATGAATCCTTAACTGGCGTTGGTGAAGAGACTCGCGATGATCAGTATTACGAAGCGGAAGCGCAGGATGGCGTAGGATACTGGGTTTGTGGATGGTGAGTGCGAACAGATTGGTGGTGGTGGGCGCTATGTTGATGTTGATGATGGCGCAATGGCTCCTGGCCCAATTGCTGCACACTGTGTAGTTACACGGACACGCGGGCCACTGTGATGTACGTTTCTCTTACTCTATATCTTCTTTCCCCTCCTCTATTTCCTCCTCTTTCCTCGCCTTGTGCTCTCCTGCTCTTCTTCCGCCCCCTCCTCGTTCTCCTACTGCTGATCCCAAACGAATGCGATTGAATGCCTCACGATCCTGCCCACGCCGTGTGCGCGGCCTTGCAAACAAGTCATGGCGCGGCAGTTATACCCTGCTCATGAGTTGAGTACGGCCGCGCAATTTTGGGATGCGTTTATGTCTTCCTTCCCGTGCAGGCCCTCGATAATTCGTGGATGAGGCCATACGGTCCCGGGCACGCGTTGCGTGCAATTCCGCGAGGATTCGTGGGTGCACCTCATAGGCTGCACTGCGCACGTTGCACCACATAATTGTCATTACATATGCTGCGGTCGTATACGTGTTGTATACGTGTTGCAAAAAAGATTGTTTCGGGACCACCCATGAGTCATCTTCAGTGTCCTACCTGCTGCACGGGCGGAACTCGCATGCATTCGTTGTTGTCGTGCAGGCGCGCGGTTCAATGTAAGCATGGTCGTTGATGTGCATCGCAAATGTTGTTCTCACCATGCAGGTCCAAGACGCACTTGCCCGTCTGGCGGGCGCTCGCCGTAGACACAATAACTAGTTTCAGAGGCTTTCGAAGATTGGATGTGGGACAGGAAGGTGCATTGCAACATCAATGGTGTATGTTTGGTGTACGTACCCTGGTCATCCTCTTCCTCCTCGTCCTCCTCGTTCTCCTCCTTCTTCCCCGTCCTCCCTCTGCCCTTCGCTTCTCCTAATCATGGTCTTAGGCCGCCCCGGTTTCTGCACGCTCCCAACGATGGACCCCGACTGGAGACCTTCTGCGGACTCGTGGGGACGTGAAGCTCGAAATCCTGTGCCTCCTCTTCCTCCTGTTCGTCCCTCCTTCGTCCGTCCTGTTCCTCTTCGTCGCTCCCTCTCACCGCACGACCTCCTCATCGTCGGCATCCTTCTCTTCCCTCCTCCTCCTCTCTCCCCCTCCTCCTCCTCCTCCTCCTCCTCCTCCTCCTGTTGAGCACGTCTTCGTGACACTGCCATCGTCCGCCGCCGCCGCCGCCGCCGCCGCCTCCTCCTCCTCCTCCTCCTCCTCCTCCTCCTCCTCCTCCTCGTCCTCCTCTCTCCTCTCTCCTCTCTCCTCCTTCTCCTCCTTCTCCTCCTTCTCCTCCTCCTCCTCCGTCCTCCTCGGTCCCCTCCTGTCGAGGGACCTCCAGCAGTGCTCTGGGGGGCCCCTCGGCTGTGGCCTGCACGGCCCTCCGCCCCTCGGCTGTGGCCTGCGCTGCCCTGCCTGGCCGCGGGCCGGGGTCACGCGATCGGCTCCGGGCTGAGCGGGCGGCCAGCTGCCGCTCCTTGAGCTCCTGGCGGAAAGGGGGGGGCTGGGAGAGGTCAGCATCGGTCGGGTGCTGCTAGAAGTGCCCCTAGCCCAAGGTAGCCCCCCGGATTCCCAAAGAGGCCCCCATGGCCTCCAGAGCACCCCTCACGAGGCCCAGAGGGCCCCAGGGGCTCCAAAATGGAGCGAAAAGCTGGGAGCACCTTGGGCCAGGGGCACTTCCAGCAACACCCGAAGGGGTTTCGGAGAGGTCAGCATCGGATCGATCAACTGGATCGGGCCAGAGCAAGCCTCAAATCGGGCCTCATCGGCATGGAGCTGGGATCGTATCGGATCGGCCGCGCCATGGTGCACAACAACACCGTGCAGACATCGGGACGCATCGGTTCGAATCGGCCGGAATCGATATCGAACTGGATCGATCAGATCGAGATGGACCCTGGGGGTGGGAGGAGCTCCCTCCTCCTGCTCGCCCCTGCTTGCCATCCTATCCTCTCCTCCTCCTTCCTCCTCGTGCTTCTTTCTCTCCTCCCCCTTGTTACTCCTCGTGCTCCTTCTCCGCTTCTACGAGCGAGGATGGCTCGTTGGGGTGGCGGGGGGCGAGGAGGGGATGGGACACGGGACTGTGGTGTGGGAGGCGATGTGGGCGAGGGGATGGGGGCGGGAGGGAACGGGGGCAATGAGTGGATGGGATGGGGTCGGGAGGGCTCGTTTATGTCCCTGGGAGGCCCGGGGGTGCTCCTGGGGGGCAACCGAGAAGCTGTTGGGAACAACCCGGGGACTCCCTGCAACCCCTGGAAGTGCCCGAGATGCTCCTGGAGCCCCCTGGTAGGCCCCCTGGACGATCCCGCAACCCGCATCTTGGGGCACCCAATGGCTGGATGGGGACCCTGCCGCTCGCCCCAATTTTTTTTGGCTGTTGTCTGCTGCTGTTGCTGTTGTTGCTGTTGCTGTTGAATTCTCACTTCGGAAGAATAATTATTGTTTATCCCCCCACCGGTGCATACTGTTTTTTCTCAATCAAAGTGTGCCCCTCGACGCTCGCACCCTGTTTTTTGACAGGGAAAGTCTTCCTGCTCAAACTGGGTCGCTGGCCCCCAGGTTACAACAACAACGGCTCCCGCTTGAGACTTCCTTGCGATTTAGCCAGGACCCCCGCTCCCGCCCGAGACTTCCTCGCATTTTTATTCAGGAATCGCACTCTCGCTGGGGACTTCCTTACTATTTATTGAGGAATCGCTCTCCTGGCGTTCTGGAGTCGCGCTCTCGCTAGAGACTTGCTTGCAACTTACTGAAGAATGGCCTTGCGTTGGAATTTCCTGCAATTTGCCCAAGCGCCGCGCTCCTCGACACCCAGGCACCCAGGAGTCGCGCCCGTTGTGGCCCCATATGCATGCCCTTCGTGGCCCCGCTGTCGCCATTTGTGTCCCCCTCACTGTCCTACGTGGCCCAGTTGCTACCCTCAGTGGCCCCATAGTTGCCTTCTGTGGCCCCGCATTATCTGCACTTCGTGGCCCCCGCTCGTTCGCGCTCTTCGTGGCCCCATACGCATTCCCTTCGTGTCCCCGCTGTCGCCCTTCGTGGCCTACTTCGTGCCCTTCGTGGCCCTGCTGACGTTCTCTCTCGCTCTCGCTTTCGCTCGTCGTCGCCGTCGTCGTCGTCGTCGCCGTCGTCTTCGACGTCGTCGTCGTCGTCGTCGTCGTCGTCGTCGTCGTCGTCGTCGTGGTCGGTCCCCTGTCCGTCCCTCGTGGCGTCGGGTCGACGGTCCGCGGCCGCCCCGCCGATCAGCGCTGCCGCTGGCCAGCCCGACGGTCCGCGGCCGCCCCGCCGCTTGCCGGGGCCCGGCCTGCAGGGAAGAAAGGTATACCCCCCGAAAGGGGTTCGATTGAAGACGAAGAGGGCGGGTATCGAGGGTTTGGGGAATACGCGTTATTGGACACTCGAGCATATAAGGGCGAACAGTCTTAAAATTATTATTATTATTATTATTGTTGTTGTTGTTGTTGTTGTCCTGTGGCTGCTCGCCCCACCGAGGGACCTCCCTCCGAGAATGCCCCACAGGGGGCCGACAGCTGGACGTGGACTGGGCCTCCCCCCGCGCAAGGGGGGAGCGGGCATCTTCTTCTTCCCTTTCCCTGCTCACGTCCTCTACATCTCCCTCGAGGTTGACGTTTTGTGCTGTTTTTTTCTGGGTCCCCCCCCCCGCGCAAGGCGAGAGGGCGCGACTAGATGCCTCCTGGATGGGGTCGGAGTGGGGTCGCAGGATCGCCGCATCGCCGATACATCGGCGATGCAATGGCGATGCATCGGCGATGCATCGGCGATGCACCGGCGAGGCAACGTCGACATCGGCGACGCATCCGCGACGTCGGCATCGGGAAAATCGGGCTCCACATCGAACCGCATCGTCGATGCATCGGCGATGCGGCGCGATCCTCCGACCCCATCGACTCCGACCCCATCTGGGAGGCCTAGAGCGACCCAGGCGGCCCTGCAGGCCCCGGGCGCGCCCGGCGGCCGCAGGCCTCCGCCTGGGGGGCGAGCTGCTGCCTCGGCCGCGCCCCGTCGCCGCCGGAAGGCGTGCCCGCCGGGCTGCCGCCGCCGCGGCGCCCGCGAGGCCGCGCGCTTCGCGCAGCACCTCGCGCCAGCGGCCATCCCGCGAGATGCCCCAGCTCCTCCTCCTCCCCCTCCCTCCTCCTCCTCCTCCTCCGCCTCCTCCTCCTCCTCCTCCTCCTCCTCCGCCTCCTCCGCCTCCTCCTCCTCCTCCTCCTCCTCCTCCTCCTCCTCCTCCTCCCCTCCCAGATGCTTCAGCGTCCCGCTGCCAGTGGAGAGTTGGCGGCGAGGCAGCTGCGGAGCGTCCTGGCCCCGACCGCCCCGAGAGCTGGGCTCCCCACCCGCACACTCCTGGACCCACAAGAGGGCAAGGCCGCTCCACGACCGCCCCGCGGGGCACCCCGGAGGCGCGCCGCTTGCCGGCTTCCCGTCCTCCCGGCGAGGGCGCCAAAGCGTGGTTTCTACTGAACTTCCCGATCTCCCCGCGGACGTCAGCCGGGTCGCAGCGCGGGCGGCCTGCCAGACATCGCAGGATCCAGAGGACGCCCAGAGGGACTCGCCGCTGGCTGTGCTCGCCTGCGCAATCGCTCGCGAGCTTGCCGACACCAACCTTCCCTCCCTCCTGCTGGGCTTCTCGTTGTCCACTCAGGTCTTCCAATCTCGCGCTGGTCGTTCTCGCGCCACCCCCATGGGGAAGAACAGCTGCCCAGGCCAGACCGCGAATCGCGGTCATGCTTGCGCCTCTGGGGAAGACTCAGTCCACCGCCCACCCGCCCACGCCTCTCCTCTCCTCATCTACCCCCCCTTCCCGCCCCCAAACTCCGACGCTTCAGGACAGACACGCAGATGCGAGGTAAACACTTTTGTAAGCTGTGCCGCTGGATCTGGCTCGCATCTTGCTGCGGAGTTGTCCCGTCATGACTAAAGCCAAATCCCATTGCCGCCCCTTCGAGGAGGAGGAGGAGGAGGAGGAGGAGGAAGAGGAGGAGGAGGAGGAGTCCTCTCCCCATCCTCGTCGTCCTCCGGCACACGCCGTCTGTGCAATTCGACCTCGAGGGGCCTCTCCCCCCATGCCTGCACGCTCCGCCGCTCCCCTCGCAGCCCACGAGCTCGGCTTCCTGGGAGCTCGGGAGCAGTGGTCTGGAGGCATGTCTTCGGCCCACGGCCAACCTCTGGGGCGAACGTGCGACAACGAAGACGAAGCCGAGACGAGGACAAATTCGGATGAGGATAAATCGAGAATCTCTAAGATCTGGCGGCTCTGGAGGACGTCTCGAGCGCCGCGGCCCTCTCAGAGCGTTCCGGAACGCTCTGCAACGGATCTATCCTCGTCCCAGCCCCGCCCTGGAACGGATCTATCCTCGTCCCAGCCCCGCCCGGCAGTCCTCGCCCTGACCCAAGCTCGGGTCCCAGTCCAAAAGCCCTCTCGCTCGGCCCAGGTGGCCACAGGCGCAGGACAGGGGCGACTGGCTGTACCCGCCCACGGGTTTCAATCGACCCGTCCCCGTCATGATCAGAACCAGAAGGCGAAGCAGGACGACCCCTCCCCGCCCGTCAACAGTGATGATAACAGCCATGCCGACCGACCAACAAGAGGCTCCAATGCACGAGCGGTGCCGCCGCCGGCCCGGCGCTCCTTCAAGCGCTCGCGGCGGTAGCGTGCCAGTACGTCCTCCTCGACGTCGTCCTCCAGCCTGGTGAGCTCCTGTGGAACTCCGTGGTTTCACCGGGGCACACCTCGCGCCACTCTGGCAACAAAAGGCGCGGGTATGGACATGCCTGCCTCCCTCTCGGCCCTCCTCCTCCGCCTCCTTCACTCCCCCCCTGGGGCCAAGGCGTCGAAAGGATGCTCCGTTCGGATGGTTGAACATGGCCATGGCCAGTGACCGTTCAAGCGTTTCAGACCTTGACGATCCTGCCGTACTCACGTGCTGTCGTACTGTCGCGGCTTGACCGGCGGTGGTCCTACCGCCTTGCTGCGTGCGCCCTGGCACGGGGTTCGGACCAGCATGGCCGCGACCTGTTCAATTTTTGCTTCCTGGCGTCGCACCTGGGTGTGAGCGTCCGCGCCTGGGGCTGCAATTTGCTTTCTTGCTGGCCTTTCAGCTGTATTTGCCGGCAGCGTCTCAATCTGAGCGTTGGCGTGTCCCGTAGGCGGCTTCGCATTGCTCTTCCTTTTTCTTTGTCACCTGTTTGTTGGAGTGACTGGTCCTTGCCCGCTGCAAGGTCGGTGGCGTTGTTTGTCGCGCAGTTCCCCTGCGCGTTTGTACCGCCACCAAATTGGCTGGTGTGGCCGCTTTGCAATCATTTTTGGGCGCCCTAGGCTTCAAGTGGCACCATGTTGCCGTTTGCGATTCAAACTTTACGCGTCGAGCTTCCGTTCCGCGGGTTCTTTGGCCGATCCACTTTGGCTTTACAACGCCTCCCGTTTTTCCACTACCAATTAGCATGGCTGTGACTGGAATCCTCCATCATGGCGCGTTCGAGTAAATTCGTTCGCAATTGGCATCACCACCTGCCGACCGCGCCTGAAGCTTTTCTGCGCCGCCGACTTAAAAGTGTGTGTGTGCGTGTATGCTATTCGAGTCGAGCTTCTGTTCCTCGTTTAATGGGCCGCTGCACGTTGGCTTTATATTACCTCACTTGTTCTTTTCCACCACCTTTCTCCACTGCAATGGTGGACGTATCCTTCACTGCGCGTTCCAAGTAAATTCGTTCGCAATTCGCACCTACATAAGCTGACCGCGCCTGAGGCTCCCCTGCGCCGCCGACTGAACAATGTGTGTATGTGCGGCTAATCTTGCCACGCTCGCGCTATCGCTGGGTTGGTCGTCGTGTCGAATACATAACCCGATGCAACCAGCAGCGTTCATGATGAAGAAACTCACGGTCCTCCTCCTCATCCCCTCTTTCTTCCACCTGTTTCTCTTTCTCCTGCCCCCTCGTCCTCCTCATCCCCCTCGTTCCTTCGTTCACTGTGTGCCTCCAAAGCCGTGTTGTCTGAGGGTCCCTGCATATCGTGCTCTGGCCTTGGGTTGGTTTCTGAACGACGTGTTTCCCCAGGTGCAACGGCTGCCAAGTGATGTGAGCCAGTGCTACGGAGAACGAGTGTGTCCATCACCACGATGCCTGTGGAGGCTATGTGGTGATGGAGAATGCATTCACTCCCTTGTGCCCCCGAAGCTACCCAGACCTCTAAAGATCTATGAAACATTTTTTGTTTGGGTTGCGTTCCACGGGTTGTGCGCAAATCCTGGGCCCGACGGGGCCTCGGGAGGCCCACTCTCTGAAAGATCGGCCGCACTGTTTTTCAGGACGCTGGAGGTCTGGATTTCTTAGCCACAACTCGGGCCAGAAGGGGCCGTGCGGCACGATTCTGGGGGCCGAACCCCTGAAAAGACAGGAAAGGCTGCCGAAACCCTGCCGGAAAAGCTACTCCTGGAGGTTGCAGTGGTCCAGAGGTTCCAGCTGCTCCACAGCCTCCACCAAGGCCTTCTCCACCTCGCGTTGGGGCACCTCCTGCGGGAACACCGCCACGCTGCCAGGACTGGCAGCGGTAGCGGCAGCACCACCAACACAACCATCAGGGGTGGGAGGATCAGAAGAGGACGGTGACGGCGATGATGGGAAGGATGGTGATGATTAAGAAGTAGAGGAAGATAAGTAGGAGCATGGGGAGGACACCCAATGACCATCGCGGGTTCCTGGTTCACCGCCCGAAGAGAGCTCGCGTACCGCGAGCCTCAGCCTAGGTGGATGTCGGCATCCCGCCCCCGACGAAGATGATCTTCTACGCGTCAACCGCACGCAAGCCGAGCTGTTCGCTGGCCAGGCCGCAGTGCCTGGGTCCCGAGTGTCAACTCCTGAGGTCAACTCCGCATGGTGGTCGTTCACGCCGTGGCCGAGGTCCTCGACGTCCAGGCAAGCAAAATCTCGGAAACCAAAATCACGTACAGGCGCGATAGGAGAAGCATATGATAACGCATGGGGAACCGAAATGCAACGTTTCAAACCATCCGGGACTTCCGGGAATGATTGGGTTGTAAAGTAGAAACCGTCAACAAACGAGGTCTGTTTGCTCAATGCGAGATCCCCGCTGCGCTGAGCCCGCGACGCACGGCTGGCGTCGCGGGCATTCACATAATGAAGGGGAACTGGAAGGTGAACGAGGAAGAGGGAGAGAAACAGAAAAGCCATGACGGGCGGCTCGGTGAAAGGCTTAGAAAATGCCAGCGCTGCATTCTCGCTGCTGGTGGGGCCGTCCGGCAAAACGAAGAACCCCCCGAATTTGGCGTTCATGGCCGGTTCGCCGAAAGGCTGAGGCAGGCGGTCGCACAATGACTCACCGTTGCGAGGGTCCCGCGCCTCCCGCGGCCTATTGGGGCGGAAGGCGGTGGCGCTCTGTCTCGCGACCTCTGCGGCAAGCCTCCGGAAGGGCCCTGGTGTTGTCGCGCGAGTAACACCCACATGCCGCACGGAAAATGTCACCACCTACCGTCCACAGGCGATGGCATCGGCCACCCGCGCCGCACCGAAGAGGTAGGTGCGACATCTGTGTGCGCTACGACTCGTCGGTAAACAAAGAGAAGGCGGGGGTGGAGGAACAGGAAAAATGGGAGGGGGGGGAAGGAGGAGGGAGTGGATGAGTAGGTAGAGAAGGAGGGGATGAAAATGGAGAGGAAAAGGAAAAAGAGGATAATGGTGATGATGATGACGAGAAGGAGGAGGAGGAGGAGGAGGAGGAGGAGGAAGAGGACTTTCCAGGACTTTCCCAATCTGACAGGGTCAGAACGGCAAGATGGCCTCGCCGAGAGCGAGGACGCGAAGCGGGGAAGCCCGCCACCCCTGCCGCACGTGCTCGGTGGAGCCACCAGGGCCAGAACCCACCTAGCAGACGCATCAGGAGGGACGGGGCCCCGTTTGGCGCCCCCCCGAGGCCGCCCTATCCGAGAGGGCGGCCTTCCATCACACGTGAAATCACCCAGGCCCCCATCTTGGTGGGGGGCTGACCGTTCTGACACTTACACTCCTCCGCAAGGCCTCTCAGATGGCCTCTCCCTCTTAGAGCTCTACACCCGCATGCCGTACAAACCCAATAAGGTTCAAAATGCGCTAGGCAATGGGACGGGTGACCAACTCGCGTTCCCATGGCCAATTGCTGGGCTTGGGCTTGACTGGGCAGCTCTAGAGGGGGTCCAAGGTACTCGGAGGTCAACCAAACATCTGAATCTCTGCTACTGGCTATCTTACTGAGCGACGTGTTGCAACAATTATAGGACCACCTAGATTTCATATCAGTTAAAATGTGGGTGGTCTTGTCTTGGGCTTGGGCGAGGGCATTGGGCTTAGATCTATGTTGAGCCCTTTTTACCTGTCTCACCGTGGGGCCCGAAACTTCATTCTCAAAAGCAAAGAGAGTGGCTCTTAAAATACGTCTTCTAATTAAGCAACCTGTTAGCGACGGCCCATTTATAACAACTCAAACGTGCTTCTGGGATGCTATGCTCATCCGCTGCTCTCCCTGCTAGGTCATCAGCAACTGCGTTCCCCCTCCAAGCTGCGGTGGGGACTCCCCTGGCCTCCGCCTCGGCAGACGACTGGTGGCTGTGCATGAAGTGTACCTGCACCTCGCCAGGGACGCGCTCCTGGAGCGCGCTGGCGAGCTGCTCCCACATGTCGCCGTGCACACTCCACCCTCCAGGGCTGTGCTGGCGTCCACGGTGCCAGCCCTTGAAGAGTACCTCCGAGTCGGTCCAGAAGTCGATCGGCCCCGCCGTGTGGCGGAGGGCGGACAGCAGCGCCGTGATCTCGGCGCGGTTGTTCGTCTGCCTGGTCCCCGCCAGTGGGCCCTGGCCTCCTCCTCTGACCTCTGGCGCCGACGGGTTGGACGTGCTCAGTGCCGCCCACGCCCAGCCGCAGCGCCTATATCTCTCATCTTCAGCGTTCTCGCCTCCGCTGCCGTCTCCGCAGACCGTCATGGCCCCGTCAGTGGCAACGATGCGGTGCATGTTCAAGGCCTCGCCGAAGAGCTCCTCCGTGTAGACTGTGTCACACTCTGGTGGCGTAGTCCAACTTCTGGGCGGGATACCTCTCAACCACATGCACGGGTAAGTGGGCTGGCCTGCCTCGGCCATGACTAGCAGCGTCTGCGACTTCTCAAAGTCTGGGTGATCAGGTCGGGCACTGCAATCTTCCCAAATACGATGAAAGTCGTCAGCTCTTTCGCCGCATGCACACACGCTATTGCCTGCATGCTCTTCGCCAAAGAGGTCTGCCTTTCTCGCTGGGGTCCAAATCCCAGCAGTCATGGCCGTCAACAGGGCATTTGCTTCGGGCAGTCGGTTGGATCTCCTCAGTCTTTTCAAAGTCCTTATCGCATCTGAAACACCAATCCCATTCTCCATTCCTTTAGCGTTATATCCACGTGCTGCAGCTTTCCAGAGTTGTGCCTCGATGTCAGCGACAATGGCGTCGATGATGGTGGCTGAATTCTTATCTGCAGCTTCTGGCTTCATTTCCCAATCATCTCCTCGAGGGTCTGTCCATATTGTAGCTGTCGCAGGGTCCCAACCAGCTTCCCAAAGGGTAAGGATCAAAGAACAGATAACTCCTCTTCGTTGCCTCCATCTGTGTTGTGGCGGGGGTCTCTTGAGCCGCTCATAGATTCTATACCAAACTTTTGAAATCAACTCTCGAAGGTCCGCTCGATGTGCATAAAGATCGAACCAAGCTCGAAGTTGCGCCCTAGGAAGTTCTAGGGCGGGGTCCCTGCCTTCCAGTTTAAGAAATGTCGTGGTGCATCTGCCTGGCCTTGGAGCAGCCAGAGCAGCCACATACCTCTGACGAGCACGGCGTATGGCAGCAGGAGCTTCTCCTTGGGCCTTGACGCCGTATATCAAGGCGGGCATGGATCCCTGGTTCAGCATTGTCATTCCCTTTTCATGTCGGAGTCGCCGGAGCTTTTGCCCCAACGGTGTCATGCGATTGTATGCTTTTACTCTGCGGTCCGTGTTTGTTGCTCTTCGTCCGACACCTTTCGCCGCCCTGTCAATGCCCAGGTCGCGGGCCTCATGAGCAGCTCTGATGTCGATGCCTTTCCTCTTGAGCCTTGCCGTGGTCCTCTTGGTCATGGCCCAATCGGACGAGATGATCACGCTCTTGTCTGCCAGCTCCAATCCCTCATCGCTGAGGGCTCTCTCTAACTTGTCCGTGGCGTCCACAATGATGTTCTCCACCGCTGTGGCACTGCCGTAGACCGTGGTGCTCGCGTCGTCGAACCACGCCCTCGGGTGGGCGCGCGGGTCCTGGAGGGTAACCTTGTCCAGCACCCTGTAGACCACCGCTCTCGCAAGATTGTTCGCGTGCCTGGAACCCGCTAGCAGCGAGATCAAGGCCTGACATGGATTGCCGTAAGCCCCCCCCCCCCCCTGGCGAAGGAGCCTCGGCGCTGCATGAACTTGGAGCCCTAGTGCAAGGACTCGCTGTGGGAAACGCAGGTCCTCGCATGCCGTCGCCACCGTCGGTATCGCCAGCGTGTCATAGAACCTGCTGATGTCCGCCAGTGAGACCGCCGACGCCATGGCCAGGGCGTCCGCCGCCTCATCCTGCAGCGCCCTCGCGAGCGCCTCGCGGATGCAGGACGAGCCCTTGAGCGCCGAGTCCCAGTGGCGCGCGGCCTCGGCGACCCACTGCTCCACCTGCGGCCGCGTCAGCATCTGCTAGCACCTGATGAGCCAGGCAATCAGCGCCGAGGCCCTGTCACCCGACTTCTTGGGCTCCAGCATGACGATGGCCTGGAGCAGCTGGAATGGCCAGGCCTGTCGCTGCTCAACCAGATTAATCAAATCGACAAACTGCTGGCGCGCCGCCACAGGAAGACGCCGCACATCGGATGCAACTAAACGGTCGACGCCTCGGCCCCTGTCGGGCTGCAGGCGAAGGGCCTGGTCAAGCTGGTCTAGCGACCAGACGGGGCAGGGCTCCTGCTGAGCCCGCTCCCTGACTCGAACCAAGGTGGCTACGGGGTCGTGAGACGAGACCGATTTCGAGGTCCAGATCTGTTGACAAAAACGCTGGTTTTTATACCAATGACTTCTAGGGGCGACGTACCCTTACGGTCGCCACAAATGAGCTCATCTTCAAACCTTGGGCGGGGCTTAGTGATTTTGTGCAACTTGCCAGGCTTGGCCAGGGTAGGGTCCGAGAGCCAGTCGGCCCACGCGCGCGACTCCTTTTCAAAATCTTGCCTGTGGGCACGGGCTGTCTCATCGGATGCTTGGAGTGCCATGTCGAGCAGGGTGGGATGCTCGACCTTGGAAATGTCCGAGAGCCTCTCGATCCACACAACGCGGTGGAGGCGCGCCGTCGGAGTCGGGCTCTTGCCTGCCGACGGGGCCCCCTCCTGTGCCAGTCTCTGGGCGATGTTGCCAAGCTCTCTCTGCTGCTGGGCACCCCTCTTTTTGGCCGCGAGGGTGCAATGCAGTTCAAGAGTGTTGGAAGCCCTAGCCCACCAGCTGGCC